GCAGCCGCATCACGCAGCTACTACCTTCGTGACGCGACTGTTCATGTCCAAAATCCCTTGACCTGGACTAGACCACCTGTGTGACGTAACTGTTCGCGTACTCATTTTCCATTTTGTTTCTATATCCGTATCTAATATTTTTCTTTAAATAAATAATCCATATACTTAAGGATTTTAATAATGTCACGAACAGTGCCGTCACGTAGCTAATAGTTACGTCACGCGGCTGTTCTTCCTAGAATACCTGCGTGACGCAACTGTTCTAGTTTCCAGGATCATAATCAGAGTTCCGTCACGCGACTGTTCTTCATAGAACAGCTGCGTGACGCAACCATTACAAGTCTCAGAATAAAAGATAAGAGGTGCGTTACGCGACTGTTCTTCGTAGAACACCCGCGTGACGCGACTATCTTCCAGTATTAGCACATTTTCATTATTTTTAGTGCAGTTTCATTTCAGTAAATTAATTTTTCTTTAAATTTAATCCGGGAGATTGTCAATAATGGGCAAATTGAGTTTTGATCAAATCAGGTCAGTTAATAATTGATGATTATGAGATTGTTGAGATTTTATTTCTTATCGTTTATTATTAATTACATTACTAAACTCGGTTTGTGGCCCGCCTTTAACCATAAGGCAAGAGCGGGTCTTTTACTTTATTTGATAGAGATTTTTTTAAGATTTTATTTCTTATCGCTTATTATTAATTACACTATTAAACTCGGTTTGTGGCCCGCCTTTAACCATAAGGCAAGAGCGGGTCTTTTACTTTATTTGATATGTATTACGGATGGATGATAGATGATGGATGTATATATGATTTATCTGTGAGGTAGTTTGCAAGTGATATTAATCTAATTAGCGACGGTTTAATTAAGTTTTTCCAGGCATTAGGAATTCGGGGTTCGATTTTATTCGGGTTGGGTTTTAAATAATTTGGGCTTTTCTGTAAAATAAAATCAGGGGTTAGTAAACTCGTAGGTTAAAAGGAGGCCGGTGGTTTTCCGCTGGTGGTTCATCGGCTTTCAATCGGGCCGACGGACCTAGATTCCCTTAGTCCTAGAAGTTTCGTATTGGTACGGTGCCGGTGGGACCTGGTTCTCTTTTTCAAATAAAGCAGGCCGGTGTGTGTTAGATAGAAAATGGCGTTAAAATGGAGTCAATTTTACGAAATAAAAAAATAAAAACTGGGTTTCGCCGATTGCCAAATAGAAAAGAGTGGGGGTGGCGGGGGTGGCGGACTAAAAAATGATTATTAAGACCCGATTTATCGGCATCGTAGTGATCCAAAAAAGGTTTTTTTCTTATCACCGCTTTTTCAGATCCACAATACATAAACGGTCCCATTGCCAAAAAAATGGGTGGCGACTAAAAAATGATTTATAAGACCGATTTATCGGCATCGTATATCCAAAAAAGGTTTTTTTTTATCACCGCTTTTTCAAGATAAATACACATCAACACAATAAATAAAAACCATTTTATGATTTTTCATCCGGGGGGGAAAACAGTTGTACAAATAGAAATTCAAACATTTTTAAACGATCATTGAATGATAAAGTGAATAGAACATAACTTCAAAGGCCACTAGTGAAATTGACCCAAATAAAAATCATAAAAACTTTGTTAGGAGCTATTTATTTGAACTTAATGATAGCTTATTAGATCTCCAACTTACCATTTAAATAAGGAATAAAGACTGATTTAGCCTTAAACTTGTTAAAAAGAGTTAAAAAGCTAAATTTCACATTTTGGGTCATTTTAAACAGCAACTCTAAATAAAATGCCTAAATACCCCTTCATTATAGTTGGTCAATGAGCGTGAAATTTCCCAATTTAGCTTAAAGCTATTAAATATTAATTTGGTATCCATGTCAATTAAAATGGTAAAAATCATGCTTAGCTATTTCTTTATATCAATTTTTTTTTTATTAAGTTATATACAAAAAAATCAATAAATAAAGGTCCCTTGTAGCTGGTTCAACTTTGAAGAGGCATAATTGATAGAGTCCATGAACTTGATAGAGGCATGGACATTTAAAAGAAAACATCTCTTATCTTACATCTTAAATACATAATCCATTCACAAAAGCATCAATATTCGCCTCCGAGACCTTGTGAAGTAAGTTGGGTTTATTCAAAAATGGAACTTCATGGTTGTATTTGAGAAGTATCCTTCAATATCTCGTGTTGGTGGTGATAGTGACAAAACACCGCTCTTTGTCACTCTTACTAGGAAAACAATAAGAATTGTCAATCAGAAATATGAAGCTAGAGAATGGATGAAACCCATTTCAGAATATCAAAGGTATCTAATTTCTTGGATCCATCTAATTTTATGATCATAAAAAACATCTAATAGCTCCAGAGGTTATATTTACTATATATGGTCCAACTGGTCTTTTATTTTATTTTATTTAAAGACAGTTCTTGCATAAACTGGATTTTTTTTTTTTGCTCACCCTATTTAGATATTTCTTATGTACGATCGATGAGATGGCTTGGGAGAAGACACGAAGAGCGTAGAGGTCTTAGCGCTGGAGTCAACAGCAGCGGTATTGGCAAAGGTGTGGGCAATTATGTTAGCAATAGTGATTTGTTGTTTTAGTGGTTGTGTCATTGTAGACAAAGGCAAATAATATTTTATCACTTATTCCAACCTTTTTGACTGCGTTATATGCACGTGTGTTTTCTAGACATAAGAAGAGTATTTGGCTATTTTATTTAAAGTTGTTGTTTAAAATGACCCAAAAGGTGAAATATGGCCTTTTCACCTTTGTGAACAAGTTTAGGGGCTAAGTTGAGCTTTATTCCTTTAAATAATAAGAAACAAGATTGTTTATTTAAGCTAAATTAATCGGTTGATTATTTTAACTTCCAAGTCAAATTTTGTTTAAATGAAAAAACCTTTTTGGAGCTGATTCAATAAGTTAAGTAACTTGTTAAATGAAAAGAAAATATTTGCTGCAATTATAAAATGATATTATGTATTACTTCTTAATTATTCAATAATTAGTTCTTAATATACAACAAGTAATTATTCAACTCAATAAAATAGTAAATTCAAAGTTCACATTCAGAATTCAGCTAAGCAAATGACCACTTAGCCGTAAAATTTCAATATTTACACAAGTTAAGAGATTTTCTAAATTAGATAATTAGGCTAAACCTTAGGAGCTAAGTAGTCTTCCCAATAATAAACTTTTTTTTAAGAGCTGATTCGATAAGTTAAATAACTTATTGAGTGAAAGGAAAATATTGCCATAACACAATAAGATTATTAAGTTGATAATTGTTGATAGAACATAACTCTTTCATATAGAAATTGCATCATCTACTAGACGCTACGCTACCAAACATTATAAATAATAAAGTAATCTTTTTTATTTAATTAAAACACTAAAACTTACATGAATTATATGCCCGAAAATGGCCATATATCACTTTGAATCATTTAACAATGGACTCTTTGCACATTTCTTAATTATTTAACTCATTAAGACGGTGAAATTTTACAATATTTACACATAAATTAAGATATTCCTAAATTAAAAAAAATTTTACTTGTTTTTCAGCTGTGAATGATCGAAACCATTTATAAGAAGATGAAAAGATATCCAGAAGCAACAAAATTTATGAATTATTTGCACATGGTGCAAAGATACAATCAATTTGTTCACTTGACATTTACCGTAATCGGTTCAAAATTTAGAAAAAACTCAATGAAAGCAGGGATTATTGCCTAGCAGTAGGTGTCAGGTGAAGGGAGATAGAAAACTGTTTTAGTTTTTTAGAAAAGTTTTTCAAGCAAAATTGAAAAAGAATTTTGTATTCAAATTAATCAATTTTCTATTTGGAAAAGTAGAAAACAATTTTTCAATTTTCTAAAATTTAACTAAGGTTTGGGAAACTATTTTAAATTGTTTCCAACAGTTTTCCTTTATAACAAAAGATATATTTTCTAACTGTTTTCTATTTTTATAAAATGATATTTTCATAATTAAAATTATAGCAGGGATTATTGGGCTGCTGGCCTGGTCAGTAGTGTCAGGGTGAAGGGAGATAGGAAAACTGTCTTTTAGTTTTTTTAGAAAAGTTTTTCAAGCAAATATTGTTAAAGGGAAGAGAAGTTTGTATTCAAAAATTAATCTCAATTTTCGTATTGTGGAAAATGTAGAAGAACACATTTTTCATATTTGTCGTAAAAGTTAACTAAGTGTTGGAAAACTATTTTTAAATTGTTTCCAAGCGAGTTTCCGTGTATGAACAGAGAGGGATAGTATTTTTCTAAGTGTTTTCTTTTAGTAAAATGATTTAGTTTTCATAATTTGAATAATTAGTAATATTTATAAATAATTGTTTTTGTGTGTATTAAAAATATTTTCATTTGTGAATAGAATAAAATATTTATATATAACATGAGAAAATATATTATGCGTTTAATATTAATTAATTTTATTATTACCAAATAATTTATATCCTTTGTCTTTAAAAATTTACCAAAATAATAAAAATTGATATAAAATATTTTCATTGAATAAATAAAAAATATTTAAATAACATAAAAAATATATTATGCTTTAATATTAAATTAATTTTATTATTACAAATATATTATATCCTTTGTCTTTAAAAAATTTTACAAAATAATAAAAATTGATATTATTGTTATACACAATCAATAATAAAAATTCAAAAATTTTTAAATAAGAAATTTCTAAATTTATTTTATAATATTTTATTTTAATTATGAAAGTAATGAATAATGTTTATGAAGTTTTTAAATTAAAATATGATTTTTTTACTATTATCAAGTGAACCCATTTTTTCATTTTCTGTTTTTTAGTTTTTATTTTTTATGAAATTTATTCTTTTAGAAAATAATTTTCTATTTTCTGTAAATAAACACGCGGTTGCACGGTCACGTGCATAGCACGTGATGTATCCACTCCAGTCCAGTGTTAATTCCAACTGTACAGTCTGTAATGCCAAAAGTTGAGCCAACCGAAAAATCCTGGTCGCCACTGGCTCATTTTCCTTGTCAAAAATTTCAACAACTCAACCCCGAAAGAGAAACTACTGAGAGAAAGACAGACAGATACTCAACTAAAAGGTTAAAAATCCAATAACTGAAAACCCCTTCGTCTTCCCGCGCCTCGATTTCCTATCTCCTATATATCTGTTATCTATACATAACACACATCAGCCCAAAGATTGGGGATTTGAAAACACGACACGGTCATGTCTCAGCCATCGGTGCCACCGCCGCTGGCCTCACAACCACCACCGCCGCCGCAGTCACATGGCGGGGGCGTCCAAGTACGGTGCGCTGGTTGCCGGATGATCCTGACGGTGGCACCAGGGCTTGTGGATTTTGTCTGTCCAGCATGTCATATGCATCAAATGCTGCCGCCGGAGCTGATGAGTAGGCTCCACAACAACCTCCAGCAGAAAAACTCACAACAACAAGTGCCGGCGCACGGCATCGATCCGACTAAGATCCAGCTTCCTTGTGCTAATTGCAAGGCTATTCTTAATGTGCCCCATGGCCTAGCTCGGTTTGCTTGCCCGCAGTGCGGGGTCGATCTCGCCGTGGATTTGTCTAAACTTAAGCAGTTATTTCCTCCTCCCCCTCTGGCTCCTCCGAGAATGCTGCCTCTTCCCGAGGAAGTAAACGAGGTTTTTCATCCATCACACTCATTCTTGTCATTTTTGTCTTCGTTATGTTCTCTCATTTTTAGTGAATTCTGGGGAATTTCTTCTTTATTCTATTATCTTTTGGTTACTTTGATAATTATATGGAAAAAATAACTAGAAAATTTGGCAAACGACTACTGAATTACTTCTTACGGCACCACATGGAGTGAAGTATTAAAAGTTGTGCTACTTTTACTATTCCTGCTACTAGTATACTGAGTGAGATATTGTTTATCATTACTTTTCAATCATGAGCGTCTGCTATGGAATTTGTTCCTAACTATAGTTATTGAAGTAGTGATATTCTTGAATGCAGTGAGTAGTATTATTCCTGTTTTTGTTATTAGTCTTAATAAGCACAACAAAAAACAATGTTCTTGCCATTTTGAATTTTATCTTTTATTGCTCAGGGTGGGTTGTCATTCACTGGATTTTATGAACATATTATATGGTTAGAATCTGTCATCTAATTCACACATTGAGTTCACTGATGAAATGTACATTTTCTTTTTTTCTTACAAGTTTTGTTGGCATTTTCAAGTTGGTGTGCATTGATGATACCTAACTTTTACTTGTGTGGCATATGAAATTGATTTGAAACGTTATGATTTTCTATATTTGGAAAGTATAAGAAAGCCTTTCTGATGTTGGGGAACTAATTGAACAGAATATTGCTCAAATATAGATCAATAATTTGTGTTACGTCTTGAAGAAAAAAGATAGTTTTTGGGGAGTGACCAGAGTTCTATTGAGCCACTTGTATCTATTAGCGAGGAGAAGAAAAACTCAGTATGGGTTTAGAATCTCTCACTTAATGCTAACTTGCAAGATTTTAGAATTCTTAACTAAAGTTCTTGTTATCTATTAGAAGCCTCAAGCACAATTAAAAAATTGTTCAGGGACAACAATATACCAAACACGTTTATGGTTGTTGTTTTTTGTTTTTTTGCTTCTTAATTGTAAAACATGAATTATGTTATAAATTAAAAAAAGCTTGTTATTCGGTGTTTTAAAAGAGAAAAACAAGTTGCCACAATAAGGGAAGAATGAAAAATTGGTTTTTGGTTATTTCATCAACCTGTTTTCCAGTGTACAAATTCTTAGCACGGGACAACAAAACTCAAAAACTGAAATGATACCAAAGAGCACACTTTGATTATATGCAGATCATTTTGTACTAAAGGTAAATGCCAAAGAACATATTTCAATCTTTGGGACACAGGTATTTGATTTAATGATTGAAGCTCACAGGTATTTGATACCAAAGAACACACTTTGATTATATGCAGATCATTTTGTACTAAAGGTAAATGCCAAAGAACATATTTCAATCTTTGGGACACAGGTATTTGATTTAATGATTGAAGCTCACAGGTATTTGATACCAAAGAACACACTTTGATTATATGCAGATCATTTTGTACTAAAGGTAAATGCCAAAGAACATATTTCAATCTTTGGGACACAGGTATTTGATTTAATGATTGAAGCTCACAGGTATTTGATACCAAAGAACACACTTTGATTATATGCAGATCATTTTGTACTAAAGGTAAATGCCAAAGAACATATTTCAATCTTTGGGACACAGGTATTTGATTTAATGATTGAAGCTCACAGGTATTTGATACCAAAGAACACACTTTGATTATATGCAGATCATTTTGTCACAGGTATTTGATTTAATGATTGAAGCTCACAGGTATTTGATACCAAAGAACACACTTTGATTATATGCAGATCATTTTGTACTAAAGGTAAATGCCAAAGAACATATTTCAATCTTTGGGACACAGGTATTTGATTTAATGATTGAAGCTCACAGGTATTTGATACCAAAGAACACACTTTGATTATATGCAGATCATTTTGTACTAAAGGTAAATGCCAAAGAACATATTTCAATCTTTGGTGCACAGATACTTGATTTAATGGTTGAAGCTTACAGTTTTAGTATTCACTCCTTGTGGTCCTGTATCCTACTACCTTACACATGCTATTTATACCTCACTGCAATAATAGGATGAAATGGGGATGACCCTTAGATTGTTCTGTTTTGTTGTTGAATATTCCTTCTATTTATGTGTCTGACATTGAGAATGTTGATACTTGATAGTAGCTATGATCATGTGATATGTTGCAGTCCAAGTATTTTTTTTGAAGTTCCAATTGTTTATTTTATTACTTCTAGTTTTCTTATTTCATTTTGACAACAAAACCTCTTAGGTAGCCATTGAAGTGGAGCGAGAAGAGGATGAAGGTGGTACAGTGGGAGAAACATTTACAGATTATGTGAGTGTGCTGTTTCCAAGGGTTCACAATGATCGCAATTTCACTGCTTATATCTGTTAACTTTTGGTTCTTGGACTCATGTGTTAATTGCTGAACTTTTGAGAACTGAAATTTATTCCTGCTTATGTTGTTACATGTTGTTCTTATTTCTTGCAGCGACCTCCAAAACTATCTATAGGACCCCCACATCCTGATCCAATTGTTGAGACATCGTCCTTATCTGCAGTACAGCCGCCCGAACCCACATATGATCTAAAAATCAAGGATGATTTGGAAAAAAATAAGGCTTTGTCTTGCTTACAGATTGAGACATTGGTCTATGCTTGCCAGGTTTTTTCTACTGCTGGACTTATGGCTAATTATTCTGAGTTCCCTTGCTTATAAGATATTCTCTACAGAGACACCTCCAGCACCTTCCCAATGGTGCTAGGGCTGGATTCTTTATTGGAGATGGAGCTGGTGTGGGTAAAGGTCGAACAATTGCAGGGTTGATATGGGAGAATTGGCTCCAAGAGAGGAGGAAAGCATTGTAAGTTTTGGGTTGCAACTCACAATATCTTTATTGCATTCAGATCTTTGTCTTCTTCTTTTGATGTTACTTGATTTTGGTTTGTTTTATTATGAATTTGCATTGTCTCAGAGGAGATTATAATTTTTTAACTCATGATCTGTAATGTTTTTGCTATTCTCTAATGATCTTACACAGGTGGATTTCTGTTGGTTCAGACTTAAAGTTTGATGCAAGAAGAGACTTGGATGATGTGGGTGCATCATATGTTGAAGGTAAATTGATACACTTTCCTTTTAGGTTTGCTATCTCTTGTAATGATGGTTTAATCAGAATGATTTATTCAAGATTGGTCAACTGGAAAAATTTTGCATCAATGATATGCCAGTGAATCGTATAAATTTGGCGAATATATAATGGGACTTGACCTCAGCTATGTGATATGCGGCTACATGTGGTGACTTTTTGGGAATCACGTACCTAAATGTAATGAGATGGTACTTCTGTGCTGCTTTATTTGGCCTTAACCTAACCCATCCATTTTCTTTAGAACAAGGGATTCTGCCTTTTGTTTGCGACTCTTTTTTGGAAAAGAAATATGTCAGTAAAAAAATGTTTTTTTGTTGAAAATTATTTTAAAATAATTTGTATAATTTATAATTTGACCTTAATGACCTTGTTTTGTCTTGATTTGCGCCGTAATTGATCTGTTGATCACGATTAGAAAAATGTAATATTTCTAAATTTAATATTTTTGTGTTTTTTCTTGATTTATGTGTTATAATTGATATGTCAATCAAGAAATTTAATATATAGAAAATCTTGATAAATTCTGAAATTCTTGATTTTTTTCATTTTCTTTAGAATTTTTAACATTTATTTCTCAATGCAGTGCATCCTTTGAACAAACTGCCGTATTCCAAGCTTGATTCAAAGTCTGTTGGAGTCAGAGAGGGAGTAGTATTTTTGACTTATAGTAGCCTTATTGCATCTTCTGAAAAGGGTCGTTCTCGTCTACAGCAGCTTGTTCAGTGGTGTGGATCAGGATTTGATGGTCTTGTCATATTTGACGAGGTATTAGATTTTGTTTGCTTTTTAAGCTTGTTTAATATGGCTTACTTTTAAGAACGTTCTACTGTATAAAGATTTTCGTGATGAGTGGATGCTGTGTTTACAGTGTGGTTTTGTCTGTTTTTTATTTCAAAGCATCAATTTCTTCACTGTAGTGCCATAAAGCAAAAAATTTGGTGCCTGAAGCTGGAAGCCAGCCAACACGAACGGGTGAAGCAGTTCTTGAGATTCAGGTTAGTCATTGAGACTGAATTCTGAAGGAAAGTTTACCTACATCTTTGAAATTTTTTTTCCTGCTTACTGAAATTATGCATTTTTATCTGTGTATTTTATTATTATTGTAACTTCTCTCTCATATTGATAATTATGTGGAAACATATATTTTGGTATTTTAAGAATCATTTGAGAGAATTCCTTCCTGTTTCCCTTGCACAAAACTAGGTGATGATAATAATTATGTAAAAACGAAGAGATAATGAAACAAAAGAGGGAAGAGATATGGATGAACTCTGATTATGAACGATTATGGAACAAGGTGACAGTGTGGATGCTTTTAAAATATTTCTCCAGTAAAAGTGGAGCCTGAAGTTTGAAAAGTATGTTGAGATGAAAGGACCTTTTTCTCCTTGAATTGATGATAACTTTTGTAGGACTAGCTCTTCTCATTGTGTTTCTTTTGATCATGCTATTCCTCTTTCTCTTTTACTCTGTTTTTGCTGATTCTCAGAAATAGGTGGTTGTGCATGGAGACATCCACACTATGTTTGCTATGTGCCCATGCATGCCATGAGTCTTATAAATTCTTCTTCATCATAACCATAGAGACTATGAGTTTGCTATCCTGTTTATATTGTAAAATTACTCAGAATAGTTTAGCTGTGTGTTACTGAACTATTATATTCAAATCCTACAAAACAGGCTAGACTTCCTGAAGCACGTGTTATTTATTGCTCAGCAACTGGTGCTTCCGAGCCACGCAATATGGGTTATATGGTCAGGCTTGGTCTTTGGGGAGCTGGAACATGTTTTCCTGATTTCCAAAAGTTTCTAGGTTTGAAAAATCTGGTCCATTACTTTTCTTTTTTCATCATTATCGTTCTGGTCAATATTATTAATGGGAATTCATTCATTTTTATTTTCTAACATGATGTTTTAGTTGATAGTTAGCTGGTCGAAGTGTTTTAACTTTCTCCTGCCAAGAGCAGTAATTGATGATGGCTGCTGGAAGAAGTCCATCTGTCTTAACATTCATGATGAGAAAATGATTTTTAAAGTACTGGCATTATTACTTTATCTACCCAGCAAATAGAATTTGCTTATTGAAAGGTAGCTATTTCACAAGCATCCTTAAAAAAAAAAAACCATCTAGTTGCCGTCAATTTTGACCTGTCTATCATTGTCACACATTCATTTTCGTCTGTGCACGCATGCGCCTTTCCTGCAATTATCTAAAACCCCATGTAAATATATATCTTTATGCTTTTAATTCTTTCCCAAAGGGTAGGTCAATCAAAGTAGCAAAATGGTTCATCTAACAATTCTAGAACTGTTCTGTATCCGAAACTGTAAATGAACTGGAAATTTTTAGCCGTTTAGCAGCAGTTACAGTTTCATGAACTCATTTTTGTTGCCTGGAAACGTTTGGTTAAGGAGCCTAATAATTGGGAATTGGATCTTTTCATTATCAGTTTGAAAGGCTGATGGCATAGAATGTCCCTTTTTTATTTTACACAGATTTTGGGTTGTAATTTATCTGGCTAAGAGTTATCTTGTTTTCATAATTTAGGTGTTAGTTTCTAGTAGTTTTGCTTATTTTGCAAGTTGTGTGACGCAAGAATGACTTCTAAGTTTTCTGGATTTAGCAGTCTGCATTATATGGCTTCATGGAATCTTGTGGTTCAGAAGGTTTCCAACTGCTTCTGTGGGTCAAAAGTTGCAGATGAGGAATATGAATGCAAGAAAATTTAAATTCAAGGGCTTAATCTTGAAATTATGGTCTGGATTTAATATATGGTTTATTGGGGAGATTATAAATTACTTATTAGTTATTTTAGGGTTTTGTTTATGCATATATTTAATTAAATAAGTTGCAGGTTCCAGTATTTACTCCGGAAAAAAATTGTTTAGCCCCTAAGATTGGCCTAATTCACTACTTCGTCCCTCCATTTTAAGAATTATTTAATAGTCTTTGAGGTTTCAATCTGTCAAACAAAAACATCCTTCCATCCAAAAAGATATCTTCTTACCCTCAAGTCAGAGAAAACAAAGGTCAAATATAACCTTGTTCCTATTTCAAATCTCCAATTTCCACCACCATCAAACCCTCCATTCTCCATTCAGTTCCATTAACTACCATAGCCATTTTACACTTGCATAACATTTCTGTATATTGAATCAAAAGTAGAATGACAAAAAGCTGATGTAGAATTGGAAAGCTACTTTCTTTTGTGCTAAGAGGTAAAAGGAGATGTAGTTTTGGTTGCATGAACAGGAAAAAAAAAAAAAATCAGTTCGAAACATGCCAAGCAAACAATTTTTATGTTAAAACAAAGGGAAGAAATTGAAATACTTCTTCACCCACTTTCGCTACTTAGAAGCACAAAGGAACCTAAGAAAATCTTCAAAATCTTGAGTTTTAATAAATTACTAACTAAAAACACGCATTAAGGCAATGTAACTGAAAAAAAAAAAATACTACACTGATTGCAATTAAAGCACATTTACTATTATTTTGATATTTAATGGGAAATCACAAATTATTTTAAAAAAAAAAAGAATTGCAGGAATTGAAAGGAATAGATAGAGATTGTGAAAGAAACTGAGAAAGGAGAATGGAGAATGGAGAGAGAGAGAGAGAGAGAGAGGGAGATGGAGAAAGAAAGGACATTTTTGTCTTTTAACACTAATCAATAGCATGAACCCATAAAAATAGACAGAAGGACTAGTTTGATGGACTGAAACTTGAGGGACTATTAAATTAGTTCTTGAAAATAGATGGATGAAGTAGTGAATTAGGCTAAACCCTAGACATTAAAAAATTAATTTTCCTATTTACTCTTTATATTTATGGAAAATCGCTATTACTCCTTGTGGTTTAACGAAATTATCTACTTAGCCCTTGTGTTTTGAAAAATTCATTTATTTAGTCCCTGTGGTTTGCAAGCAACCGTTGGACTAATAGCTCGTGTCTAAAATTTGTACTTTTTTCATTAAGTGTCTTTTGGAAGGACAAAAATACCTTGTTGTTCATTGTTTGCAAGCCTGGGAAGAACAGAAAATGTTTACCAAACACCACCATTACCAGCCTTCATATCTTTTAAGAGCGACTTAAACTTTCAACAGTCATCAACCCAAACATTGCGCTGCATTCATTACAAATCAAGATTCATACAGCCAAACAAAACACAAGAAATTTAGAATATTGCAAATAGTCCAAATGTAGCAAAAGTTCATAGCAAATAGAACATACCTAAAACTAGCTCAATAGGAAAAGAATTTTGATAGCCCAAGAAAACCCAGAACTAATAATACTACTAAACTAATAAAATCCATAACTCCAAGAATAAAGCATTAAATTTTAAGCCAAAAGAAAAATTTAACTTCCAAATCAAATGCTAAACCTAGCCACCAAGCTTGAATCAATTATGTCTTAATCCTAGCATTCTTAGCTCTGGTTAGTTTCTACACTTGTTTCATGATCTATGCCAAGTGTTGCGACTCCAATTTCACAACAGAAGTCACAATTGCAAGCTCGCAAGTGAAGAATGGCAAAAATTACGGAACACCTACTTGAGAGTCACAAGGACAAAAAGTGAAACACCATCACAAGTGCAAAATAAATGTGTTTTTTCGTTGTTTTTTGAGGTTGGATTTTGACATCAATGAAATGAGAAAAGAATGGTGATTGGAAGGTGGAGACTGAGAGTCGGTGTCGTTTTCAAGGTTAAATTGATTGCTTGATGGATTTATGGAGTAGGAAGAAGGAGAGAAGAGATGGATTAGATTCAATCAATATTGTTTTCTTGTTGAAGTCACGCTAATCGCACCCAGGGTCATATTTGTGGTTAAGATTCTACCATATATGTCTTTTTCATTCCCTCGAAATTATATTTTACAACATAGACGCTTATGATGCCCCCTCTAAGCCTTGCGGTAATGATTCACCTGGCACTACATCCTTTGCTGCAATGATGTTGTCCATAGGTCAAATCATTTTGTTTATTGGAATTCACTTGACTGTCTATAGCTCCATTGCATGTGCTCGGGATAGAAGTTTTATATAAATGTATCGTCATGCTATTTTTCTGAAAGGTTTCATTAACTCCTAATTCATGTCAAGTAGACCTTGCTGTTGTGAGCACTCCACCATGTCCGGGTCTTTGAAACTCTCAATCAAACAGTGAGAGGTAAGAGAAAATTTTGTATATATGGAAAGGTATTTTGGTATTTCCAATCGGCAGAATAATAGAAAAAATTACAATTTTTGGATGGAAGGACCCTTTGTTCAATGGTTGCAAACCACAAGGACTAAATAATGCATCTTGAAAACACAAGAACAAAGTAGTTAATTTCGCTAAACCATAGGGACTAGGTAGTGATTTCCCTTTTTATTCTTATTTTTGAGTCCTTGTTGGGTTGGGATAGTATTATTCCTTTTTAGTTTATTTTGGAGTCCAAATCCTTTAAGGATGTGGACTAGTTTTGAAGTCCTTTTCTTAAAGGCTTAGGAGTTGTTTTGTGTACAAGAAACTAAAAAACTAAACTAATAAAAATAGAAAACAAGAAATTATAACCATTAAAAATTACATGGAAATAATATACTGAACACCATTGATATATATATATATCTCACTTATAAGATCATGTGTGGGAGAAAAGGAGGTTGCTTTTTCCATAAGTGAAAGAGAAACGAATATGTGATGAGCCTTGATATGTTTATGTGGATATAGGCGAAACTTACATATTCCGAACTAAGGATTTTACATAAAATATTCTCAAGCCAGAAGAAATCAAAAGAGAGTATAAATAAGTTTAGTAATGTAAATACAAATTCATACACGTTTTATCTGCAAATAGTTAAGTTCTGAAAGGATTTATATAAGACCTGCTAATTATTGAGTGTGAGAATTTAACTATATGACTTTGAGTGATATTGGTTCAGAGATTAATAGTTATTGAAATATAATTATTTGGCTAGATAAATTGTCTGTTTGTAATCTATTACTAGATAATTTCACTGTGGTCTTTTAAATTTCAAATACTATTTTCTATGTGCATGAGGGTTTGTGCACATGTTTTGTGTGTGGTTCTGTTTGAATTTAAGTATTCATGATCTCCATGTGGATTTTATCACTCTCATGATATCTGTCTTGCCATTTTCTGTTTCATGTATCTTCTTGACTTCCTGTTCAACAGTTATTTAGACAGACCTTCTGGAAATACATGTAAATATATGCAGGTGCTCTTGATAAAGGAGGCGTAGGAGCACTGGAACTTGTTGCCATGGATATGAAAGCAAGGTTATAATGCTCAGATTATCATCATATGGTGAATATGTATATACTTAGTTGATATTTTGAGCTGTAGTTTTGTTTCAATTTTCAGGGGAATGTATGTTTGTCGTACCCTTAGCTATAAAGGTGCTGAGTTTGAAGTTGTTGAAGCACCTTTAGAGGCTGAAATGATGGTAAGGGGAATAAATTTGATCCCATTATTAGACATATAATTTGATGCTTATCATTGACATCTTTTAGACAAAGCACAGTAGTAATATGGTGATACTTTAGTATGTATACTCTTTTAAGATTTACCAACATTGGCAAGAGAGGTTTGAAGTGAAAATTACTCAAAAATAACAAGCCAATGTGAAGTGTCTTTCTGAGAAAAGATTATCTAAATTCATTCAAAATATACAAGGTAGTTTTTTGATGAAATAATGAGATTTTTGACATTCATGCACTAGAGGCAATAGTCCCAAAAGAAATTCTTGTCTCTATTACATACTATCCTCAGTGGCTGTTCAAACACTATCAGCTGATGAAGCCTTTCAAATCTTGAAAAACTTCAGCAGTTATCTTATAGATCAATGTAGCTTCTCCTTATCTTTAATTCATTTTTTTAAGGTAAACTGATTTCAATCAATTTCCTGTTTATGTTTTAGGGATCTTGTAGGGTATTATCTTTGAATGAAGCATGGTTGACTTTCACTTCCTGTTTGAGCTTAAGACGTCAAACCATGGTTTGAGTCTTGTGTCTTTAAGAGGGATACATTAGTTCAAACTATTTGTGGGGTATTAGGCATAAAAATTTGGACATTTTTTTTTCTCAATTAACTTCATTCAGAAGCATCTTTACTTTTTTTATACATCCATTTAAAGTGCCTACAGACGTCAAACCATGGTTTGAGTCTTGTGTCTTTAAAAGGGATACATTAGTTCAAACTATTTGTTGGGTGTTAGGCATAAAAATTTGGACATTTTTTTTTTCTCAATTAACTTCATTCAGAAGCATCTTTACTTTTTTATACATCCATTTAATGTGCCTACAGAAATTTGTGTTTTGATAATGACTTTTTCTCTACATATCTTCAGTTTTCTCATGTAAATTGTACTGTCAGGAAATTTACAAAAAAGCCGCAGAGTTTTGGGCAGAGTTGCGAGTGGAATTGCTTTCTGCAAGTGCTTTCCTGGCTAGTGACAAACCTACTTCTAGTCAATTGTGGAGATTGTATTGGTCAAGTCATCAGGTATACTATTAGCTAGCAAAATCAAATGCTTGATGCTTCAATTTTTGCTAAGTGATACATGTTTTCATTTTTGTGTGTGTATTATGTTTTCAATTTGCATTCACTGGGTTTTACAAGTTAATATAACAAATAATTTATTTTTTCGCTTCTTGGCAGCGGTTTTTCAGACACTTGTGCATGTCGGCTAAGGTTCCTGCTACTGTAAAACTAGCTAAACAAGCATTAACAGAAGATAAATGTGTGGTTATTGGCCTCCAGAGTACTGGAGAGGCTCGAACTGAGGAAGCTGTTACTAAATATGTGCGTGATCCTTCTGTGGTGCTGCCTTCACCCTCTGTGTGGTTACTTTTAGCATCTATTTATTTTCAGTTGAATGCTTCTTTTCGAGAAAGAGAACTATGAACTGATAATTCTAAGGCAAATGGTTGATTAATACAACACCATTTGCTCCCTTTATACATTTTTATATTAACAGATAAAAAAAATAAATGAATGAATTTTTTTTTTTTATTCCTTCATTATTTAGGGAAATTTTGATTTCAGCTCCTAACTATTCATGATTGGCCAAAGCTCATTCCTTGGGAAAATAGCCTAGTACTCTTATTTTGGGATGAATGAATACAAAAGAATAAGATGGGAATGAATCTAAATAGAATGTACTGAAACAGAAATGCTACTTGATACTGTTGAAATCAGCTGAAGTAACTCTAGCTTTAAATACAAAATAGCTTAAGCCATATCTCTACCCTATGACATGGTAATGTGTAGACCTGTGCACTTTTCTCTATCCAAGGACACTAGAAAACTATGGAAATAGCAGAGTTCTGAAGGTGTAAGTTGGAGAAACCCCCTTGCCTCTCTTTTCATCTATTTACATTTATGCTCTAATCTGCCAAGCGATATAGCAATGTAAGGGGAAATGGTCATGACTCTCATCGAAATACGTTTCTATTCTCGTTCTTGGGTGAGATCTTGAGATCTTGTTAATGCTTTTGTCTTGATTAGGGTCTTGAACTTGATGATTTTATATCTGGACCGCGAGAGCTTTTGCTGAAATTTGTGGAAGAAAATTATCCTTTGCCTGAGAAACCTGAACCTCTATCAGGTATGTTTTGGATTTGTATTTTAAGCTGTATCTTCTGATTGAGTTTCTTAACGATAGGAGCTGGCTTTCTTATAATATTATAGGAGAGGAAGGTGTTAAAGAACTTCAACGGAAGAGGCACTCAGCAACACCTGGTGTTTCACTGAAAGGGAGAGTTAGAAAAGTTGCAAAATGGAAACCAGCAAGTGATGGTGAAAGTGATGAAGAATCTGAAAGTAAGTTTCTCAAAACTAGAATTAATTAATCTAAATTTAGTGAAGTTGTCTACCAACATAACTTAGTGCCAATCCTCATAAAAAATTGGATTGATGGTTTGATTCTTTAAAACTGATTAAATTCCGAAATTAAATTTGACTCTTCAATTAAATTTAATTGATTAAATTTTAATGGATGGTAAATTAACTCTTTTCCTCCCTTCTATTGGGCTTAGGAATGCAATTTCAGTGTGGTGGTGCAAAATCCTTCTGACCACTTAACCCTGTTATCCGTGGCTACTTAAGTCTGCACTTCTATAATCTGAATGTCCTTGACTTCCATGTTATTTCATTGGTATAATTTGGAAATGTCCAGGCCATCTCAATTTCTTCCATATTATCAATGTGTGCCACTTCTATCATTACATAAATACAATAATATCTTAGCTTGTTACACTTCTGCTTAAGCCGCTTTTCATGTTACACAACCAAGCATAATAAATACCTTTACACCGGTTTTTCTATTGTAATCTGCCATTAAACTGAGCATTACTGGCATATATATGAGAATAGCTCCCAATTTTCATGATGTCTTGAAGATGAACCCTGATTGTATAAGGTTTTGAGTATGTTCTCTCGAATAACTGAACAGGGTCTCAATCATCAAATCCTCATAGAATTCAGTTTGGACTTATTCTTTGCAAATAAAGTCAAACATAATTAAAATAGATAAATGACTCAATCCTATTAGAATTAGGTTTGACCCTTCTAACTCAAAATTAAACTTTTGCTCCACTGGTCTAGTGCAACCACACTGCTGTTTCAGTTATCTTTGGGTAATAGTATATGTTCCTTTTTCTACATCATTCTTATTTTCTGAATTAAGTAATTTTTATTTTTCACTTTTGGTATATATTCACAAACACCCTCCCGCTCTACTCCATTGTGTTCATTTTTAATGCTGTCACATGGATTTATTCTTTTGTTTATTATGAGAACTTTACCTGGTGCAACTGTTTACTAATTTAACCTTTCATATTATGTTGTTAATGAAACGTGGGACATTACTGCCCAAATTGCATGGTATGAGTAAAGTACCTTCTTTATCATTAGCCTCCTTTTGGTCAATGCAGCTGACTCTGCACCCGAATCCACTGAATCTGATGATGAGTTCCAGATATGTGAGATTTGCAATGGGGAAGAGGTAAGTTCTTCTTGCTTCTTCTTGTATTATCTGCAATGAGTTATTACCTGTTAAATTTGCAAGTGCAGGAAAGGAAGAAATTGCTTCGATGTTCTTGTTGTGGCCAACTTGTCCATTCTACATGTTTAGACCCACCTATTACAGGTTTAGTATCTGAAAACTGGTCATGTTTCTCGTGCAAAGAAAAAACAGAAGAATTTCTTCAAGCAAGGCAACGCTATCATGCTGAACTCTCGGAGAGGTGAATAGAATTCTGGCATTTGTTTACTTGTTTTCATTTTTTTAAGTATTGTTCTCATAGTAATTAGAGGCGCAAAGGACTGTTGGAGCCTACAAGCTAGCCTCTAGGCAAAGGCGCATGCCCAAGCGTAGTTTAAAATGTTAGAGTTTAGATACAAGGAGTAGAATCAAGAACTTTGAAAAAAAAAAAAAAAGAAGAAACAAGATAATAGAAATGAATATAGGAAGACAGTTTGAGAGACACATCACTGGTCTTTGTGTTGCATTCTATTTCTTTTATTTATTTATTTATTTATATAAACAGATGCTAGCTGGTCAACTTATATTGAAAGAAAACCCTAAGTGACTTGTTCAGCCCCAAAAAAAAAAAAAAGAGGGAAAGATGTGCCTTTCTTGTGCCTAAGGCGCAAAAAGGGTGCAAAAAGGCATGCCTCTGCCTAGAGGCAATTGCCTGAGTGAGGCCGCTCGCCTGAGAACATTTGAGATGCAATCCCTTGAGCCTTAAGTAAGGCATGCCCAAGGGCGTGCCTGAGGTGCGCCTTTGATTACTATGGTTGATCTTTTCAAAATTACTTTATTGGTGTAGTCGGATACTGATAATCTGTAAACCTGTTCATAGATATGAAGCAGCTTTAGAGCGCAAGTCAAAAATTTTGGAGATAATTCGTTCATTTGATCTCCCGAATAATCCTTTGGATGATATTATTGATCAGGTAGTGGCCACACTTCAGATCTCTCTCTGTGTTTCTTAATGTCTGTGTGTGCGCCCGTGCGAGCGTAGCCATAATTTTGGATTGATCATCACACTATTTTATGCTTTTTTCTCTTAATTCAAGGGGCCATTTTATTCAAAGGATGGGGAAGGGTTTTTTAGGTTTTGAGTTCTCGACCTTTTATACTGACTAATTCTTACGATTTTTCTAAAAAATAAATGCATATTTTTCTGTCTTTTTTGTGTTTGTCTTACACTTTGGATTCAATTTCTATATTATGAAAGAAGGAAACATAAGATTGCATAATTCAATAATTTCCTTTCCATTTAACTTTTTTTTTGTCCGAATATAATAGTAAGCTTAAAGAAAATTTCCCCTTTTTTTTTTTTTAATTTTTTATTATTATTGAAGAGAAGTAAGTAATTATTGTTTTCCTTCATTTCTTTGTTATCAATTGTTGCTGGAGGCTTCTAAAATGATAGTACTCCAGGTTGTTTATGGACAAATATTTTAATCTACAACTATGTCCCTTCTTTAAAATACCCTAAACTTTGGGAGTTGTAACGTTTGTAACCCATTTTCAACTTAACTCCTTGGACACCTCAATTTGAAACTTAAGTTATAATTGCACCTCAATTTGAAATCTGAGTATAAAAAATAACTAAAAATAATTAAATTGTGGGAACCATGGATGGCACAGTAGTTAACCCTAACCCAAGATGGACAAGACCAAAATGCATTGTTTCTTCTTAACCCTCAACACTGCTTGGTCCCCTTCATTTATTGATAACTATTGCCCCAAAATCCTATAAACTGCCCAATATCTTCACTTCTCTGTCTCATCCTCCACCATCTATTCACGCGCAAAACCCAATGATGGAATTTCAACAAAAAGTAGCATACAACAGGAATTTACAAGCATTTTAATTAGTTTGCAGATACATGGGTAAGCACAAAGAGACAATTGGACCTGATAGAGAAGTAGAATTGCGCGTCACCGAGCCGAGATCTGTTAACTTGGAACCAGTGTCATTAAATACGCCATCAATTTGATCAGAGAAGAGAAAGTAAGCGAGAAGAATTGATTTGAGCCTCGAGTTGAGGTTGACTAGTGTTTGGTGCAAATACAAAACTGTGACCGTAGCTCAGAGAGGAGAATGGGTGCCATCATGAGATTTTGTTGAATGTGTAGTCTATCATTGAGAAATGAGACAATTGAAGGGGAGAGACTTGAGAACGAAGGCAGAATTTGGTGGCTTTAAGTTCATAATGAAAGCTTAATTAAGCCTTTAAATAGTAAATATGATCAGAGAGGATAGTTCAAGGATTTGGTTTGATTATTGTTTGCAAGTGTGGCAAGAAGATGAATGCTCTGTTAGTTTAGCTTGTTTTGGTTTTGGTTCCAGAGAAAGAGAGGTATTGTCTCTTATTATCAATCGGGGTTGTGCTCATACGGGGAAATAGAGGGATTTCTCAGGTAAAGAAGAAACAATGCCGTTTAGATTTGATCCAAGTTGGATTAAGTTAACTCGTGTCACCCGTGGGTCCCACAATTTCATTATTTACTAATTTTTTATACCCAGATTTTAAATTGAGGGCAACTATATAAGTTTCAAATTGGAGGTGTTCAGGGGGGTTTAGTTGAAAATAGGATACAATCGTTACCACTTGCAAAGTTGAGGGTATTTTAAATGAATTAGTCCCTTCTTTATCATCTTTTTGGTTATTTAGATCTCTCTCTTTTGCACCTCCTTTTTCTTCTTATTATAAACAAATTTGTCTTTACCTAAAGTTATAGTCTTAACCATCACCCAATTGTTCAAAATTTTTGAGTTGAGTTAAACTATGGTATGGGAATTCTGGTTACAAAGGTGAAAAAACTATAATATGAGCATTTCCTATTGCTTAGTCTATTTAAATGTTGCATCAGAACTTGGTTGTTTACACATCTACTTCCTCAATAAAATCAGAAGGTGCACAAAAGTATGGTATAAGATGATAACTGTTGGATATCTAATACTTATTGCATTTTTCTAATTTGAGTCTTGATAGTATATTTGTTCCAATCAAGTCTTTGTACATCAATCCTTTCTAGAGCCAACAAATGTGGGATATTTTGTGCATGGGGTCACTCTAAGTCCTTGTACTTTTCAAAACTTAAACCTCTCACCTCTGACCCTAAACTGTTAAATGCTAAGAATCTTTGTGTACTAGTTCAGATGGACAATGACATGGCAGCACTTTCCTAGTTGGCCTTCAACTTAAAATATATGTATAGCTTTTCAAACTTAAGACCTCTCGACCGTCTGACCCTGAAAGCTGTTAAATGTCCTGTACAAGGAATCGGTTTTGTGGTACTCAGTTCAGATGACAAATGACATTGGCGAGCAACTTTTCGCCTTAGTTTGGCCTTCACTTTTAAAGGAATGTAGTATGTATTATGTAGTAGTGTATAATACATGATGGGTCTTTGTTATATATATAGTATATATATATATATAATTAACTAGTATAATATATATATATATATATATAAATGAAGTTAAGACAAAATACAGTGAAGAATTGAACAAAAACAAAATTTTGATAGTGTTTATTTGCTAGCTGAATGGTATATATTATGAATTAAGAAAAATAAGTGAAGAAATTGAACAAAACAAATTTTTGAATGTTTATTTGCTAGCTGAAGGTGTTCTTCTCTAACCCTCTAATTTGTTTTCTTCCGCTATTTTGCTATATAGTTAAATTTGTTACAGATTATGGTTGTTATGTTAGTTTCTGGTTTCCAATCTTTTTCAATCAACTGATAACATTACTAGAACCTCAGACCTTTGACCTGTCCTTTGTCAGTTCTTGTTGTTTACCACAGTAACTGCTCTTTCCATCATTCAAACAAACCCAATTAATCAACCGTGCTTGCTGTGCTATGATAGTAATGGAGGTAGGTTCATGTTGGAGATCTCAACTTGAGGGAACTACAATATGCAAATCACTTGAAAGAAAAGAGCACAGAGGAAACAAAGCTCAGATTTCTTTGTCTATTTCGTACTTGGTCCTTTGCTTTGGTGGAACTTTTGCTGCTCTGTTTGTTTCTCATAGATAGTAATAATATGACGTTAAGTAATATAGGATTGGATGTTATTCTGCTTGCTGACAATGCACATGATACCCATGCAGCTTGGAGGCCCTGATAAAGTTGCTGAAATGACTGGGAGGAGAGGCATGCTTGTAAGGGCCTCTAGTGGAAAAGGTGTAACTTATCAGGCACGAAACACGTGAGTTTGTGTACATGTCTCCCAAATTTTATTCAATTTTATTTCTCTTAGATGAGTTTTCTATGTTTTTATCTTGATTTAGAAAGGATGTCACCATGGAAATGGTCAACATGCATGAAAAGCAACTATTTATGGATGGTAAGAAATTGGTCGCTATCATTTCGGAGGCTGGTTCAGCTGGTGTCTCTTTGCAGGCTGACAGAAGAGCAATAAACCAGGTAAACCTATGATGTTGATCCAAGCATGTAAACAATTGTAAGGTAGAAATCTGTTTCCTTCAATTTGCAATTAATTGAGCAATTTTAATTGTATTTATACTATATAATAATCTACTAATTTGAGCTCCAGCTTGAGCTCATTTGAGTTGGCTCAAATTTTAGTTTATGAATAAATAAATTTAATCTTTTAGTGGTAATTGAATCGAGTTAGCTCAAATATCTGTTCAAATTGAGTTAGAGCTTGAAAATTAGAGCTTGGTTGAGGCATTGAGCTCAAGTTGAGTTTCAAGTCTGTAATTTTTGATTTAGCTGAGCTGAGGAGGTCAGAATTTCTTTGGTGTGTGCTGAGGAAAATGAAAGTGGCAAGTTTCTGTTGATGGAGAACAGAGAGAAAAGGGGTAGAAAGAAAGACAACCTTGGTCTTAATACTGTGACCTTTATTGTGGTAGCTATTTCATTTTACTTAATTGATCTATTAACAAAATTTCTAGCAAGGGACTAAAATTGCTATTTTTTTTATACAGCATGGACCCAAATGTTTTTTATGGAAAACTTTTGTGGGGTTTTTTGTAATTAATTTCTCGTCTTTTTTTTTTTTTGTAAAAGAAACTCAGGTCCTTTTCTTATTTTGTGCTGTTTGACTCTTCTACCAACAGAAACGAAGGGTTCATTTGACACTAGAACTTCCTTGGAGTGCTGACCGGGCAATTCAACAATTTGGAAGAACTCATCGTTCAAATCAAGCTTCTGCACCTGAGTATAGGTAGGCTGCTGCATGTTTTATCTGGTTATGTATGTTAGTGTAGAAATGTCTTGTTTGCGACTCATAAATATTTTTCTTTTAGTTTTGATTAATCTTGCTGATTTGTAAGAAAGACTCTTTGTGCCAGCATCTATATCCTGCTGGAACAAAACATAGTCAAATTACTATAATTCCTATGTAACTGATTGGAAGCATTTTTGTTTTAATTATTCTGTTTGAAATGGCATGGTTCTATATTTTGATTTGATTTCAATTTTCAGCCGAGTTATAGGTCATAGTTTTATTTCTTTTTCAGATAATATGATCATGCTATTTGGCTGTTTGAGGTTATCAATGTCTTTTGAAAATCAAGAGATCAACTTATCATATTCTAACTTCTTCGGTAGTATCATTTCTGATTTTTTCAAATGATGCAGTTGATATTGTCAAATTATGTTCAAAATGGTATGGATTTACTACTATATAGATGTGCATTAAGGCTTTGTTTTGCAGAAAATTTTCTTTTGGAAAGCATTTTCTGATTTTGGTTACTCTTCAAGGATGAGTTTATTTTCTCAAAACAGCAAAAAAAAAAAAAAAAAAAAAAAGTTGAAATTATTGTCAAATTGATGCTTCAGAACAATGGTAGGTGATTTCCCTACTATATAGATGTGGCATTCAAAGGCTTTGTTGTTGCAGAATAATTTTTCTTTTGGAAAAGCATTTTCTGATTTTGGTTACTCTTACAAGGATTGAGTTTATTTTCTAAAACAGCAAAAGAAAAATAAAAAAAAAAATGTTTGAACATCCTGTAAAAGCATAGAAACTAGAGAACCCTTTGCAGAACACTTAGAGAAAAAAAAAAAAAAAAAAAAATGTTTTGACATCTGTAAAAGCATAGAAACTAGAAACCTTGCAACACTTAGAGATAGGCAGATATCATAAGTTCACTGCCATTTCGCGACTGTCATTAGCAACCATAATTATGGTACTGCCTGCTGCAAGATATTAGCAACTACAAGATATCCATATTTGCTACGGGAATTAATCTGTGGGGTTGTAAGTACGAGCAATGGGTATTACCATCAAAGTCCACTGGGCTTCCATTAAGGTGCTTCACGAAAGATTGATTCTATTCCTCTGTATCTTAGCCAAATGCATTGAATTGAAACAAAATCCTGTACGCAATTTCGTCTTGATTCAACTACAAGTGAACAAACATGAAGCTCTTATAGGTCCAAACACTTTTCTTCAGTTAAAGGAATTATTATTTTTTTATTTTATTCCAAATGCTAAAAAATAAGTATCAGTTGATTTTCAAATGTTGCAATAAGAAATTGAAAAATTGTTCATTTTCTCTGAAATGTAATCTAGAAAGTAATTTTGTAGAAATTTTATTTTTTGCAACAATGAGAAAATCTTAGTTGAAATTGATGTTCTAATTACATAATCAAATTGTTAAACTTGTTGAAACCTTTATCGTCTTATGTTTTGGCAGGCTACTTTTTACTAACCTTGGTGGAGAACGTCGGTTTGCATCTATAGTTGCCAAGAGATTGGAATCTCTTGGAGCATTGACACAGGGAGACCGCAGGTAGGCTACTTTTGGGACTAGTAGTACTGGTTTAATACTCTTGAGGATACTATTCATAACATTACTGTTGAGCGACGCTGGTCTTGCTTGATTATGTGACCGACTGAATGTTAAATGCATCACAGGGCTGGGCCAACTTTGAGTGCTTATAACTATGATAGTGCTTATGGGAAAAAAGCTTTGATGGTGATGTATAGAGGAATAATGGAGCAGGTTTAATCATTTTCTCTAGTACTTCTTTCATATTGAACAAGAATTATCAAATATGATGGTGAATTACTAAAGTAGAGTTTTCAGGACATCCTGCCAGTTGTACCTCCTGGATGTTCATCTGAAGAACCAGAGACAGTTCAAGATTTTATTATTAAAGCTAAAGCTGCTCTTGTGGCTGTTGGAATTGTTAGAGACTCTGTTCTTGGTAATTTTACCTTGTTGTTTTTTTCACTCACATTAAATGGAGTCAAACCTCAAATTTTAGTATCTATTTTCTTTTTGTTTTAATCAACATTATGTAAACTTATTGATTAGTGATTATGTATATTTCTATCTTGAATTTAATGTGATGCATTTGTTATCGATATATTTTATTTTTATAAATACTGGTCATTAACTTTCAAGTTCCTGTAACTAGGTAATGGGAAAGATTATGGGAAGTTATCTGGACGCATAATTGATTCAGACATGCATGATGTTGGACGTTTCCTCAATCGACTCTTAGGACTGCCGCCTGAAATTCAAAATAGGTCTCTGGTTTTTTGATTAAGAAAGTGATATATACTTGTTGCACTTAGAATCAAACCTATTTTGCTAACTGCCTCCATATTTACAGGTTGTTTGAGTTGTTTGTAAGCATATTAGATCTTCTTGTTCAGAATGCACGGATTGAAGGGAATCTCGATTCTGGGATAGTGGATATGAAAGCTAACCTTATCGAATTACAAGGAACTCCAAAGGTAAGCTATTTTGCTGTTCTTGTAAGATTTCTCAGTTATGTTGACTCTTGTTCCCATGCAGACAGTTCATGTTGATCAAATGTCAGGAGCATCAACAGTTCTTTTTACCTTTACTTTGGATCGTGGAATAACATGGGAGGTATGCTATTTCTATTATGTTTTTATTTTTCTAAAATCTGCTCCTGTGGTGTATGGACTGGGATTTTCTTATGGACGACATGATTTGTAATATTTTTTTATTATGTTAGTCTGCGAGTACTATGCTCGAGGAGAAGCAAAAGGATGGTCTCGGCTCTTCCAATGATGGATTCTATGAATCTAAGAGGGAATGGTTGGGAAGACGTCATTTCATTTTAGCATTTGAAAGGTATTTTCGAACTTTTGATGTTATTTATTTATTTTTTTGGTTAGCATCTGAAAGGTGAAAAATTTTGTGTTTTAGTCTTATTCTAGGTGTAGAAATTAAAGGAAAGAATATGTTTTATTTCTTTCAATTGTGTTATATTTTTCAACCTCTACTCCACTATATATATACAAAAAATTGTTTTTGTAGTTTTTAGTCTATTCTAGGTGTAAGAATAATTAAAGGAAGAGAATATGTTTTCTATTTCTTTCAATTGTGTTTATTTCAATTGTGTTATATTTTTCAACCTCTACTCCACTATATATATACAAAAAATTGTTCCAATATAGGAAGTAATCTAAATAAGAATAAATCTAAACTAGGAAACATAATCTTTTCACTAATTAGGAATAAACCTAAACTAGGAAAAACAATATTTACATTAATCACAAAAATTTCAACACTGCCCCTCAAGTTGGTGCTTAGATATTACTCATGCCCAACTTGCAAACTAAAGGATGAAACAACTTGCTATGCAAACTCTTTGTGAAAACATTAGTTATTTGCTCTTTTGAAGCTATTGTGAAAACATCAGCTAGTTGCTCTTTTGAAGCTATATAGGAGAAACTTGTAAAACCTTAAACTATCTTCTCTTTTATAAAGTGACGATCAATCTCTATATGCTTAGTTCGATCATGCTGGACTGGATTGTTCATAATACTGATTGCTGTTTTACTATCACAAAATAAGGATATATTTATTGTTTTAACTAACTTTAACTCTTCCATTAATCTGCGCAACCATAGAAGTTCACAGATTTCCTGTGCTATAGCTCTATATTCAACTTCTGCGCTGGACCTTGCAACAACAGCTTGCTTCTTGCTGCTCCATGTGACCAGGTTTCCTCCAACAAAAACAAAAATAACCTGAGGTTGATCTCGTATCATCAAAGGAACCAGCCCAATCCGCATCTGTATAGCCATCTGTCATAGCCTGTTTATTGTTAAATGGCCATGTTTAGAAAATAAAGTCCTCTACCTTGGAGCTGGATTTTAAATATTCTTAGAATCCGAGCACTCCCGAGGGTCATGCATTGTAATGACTTCACTTAAACTACAGCAATAGGCAATATTTGGTCTAGTATGGGGCAAGGCTAAGTCAATCTCCTTGACCAATTCTTGATACCTGCCAACATCAACTGAACTTCCCACTCCAGCTTGAAGCTTACCGATTGGCCTTCAATAGGTGATTCTGCAGGTTTAACATCCCAACATACCAGTTTCTTTTAGGGAAGATCAAGGATGTAATGTCTCTGAGAATAAAAATCCCTTTTTTTGGACCCTAGCACTTCTATCCCAAGGAAATGTCTCAACTTTCTCACATCCTTAATCTCCAAACTCCCTAGCTAACAAATTTCTCAAGTGAGTCATTCTTCTTCATTATTTCCAGTCATCATATGATCATCAACATAAACATAAGCAATTTGATCTTTACCTTCATGATGTTTAATGAACAAAGTATGATCAGCATTCGCTCTGATATACCAAAGAAAAGCATAGCTTTACAAAAACCTTTCGGAACCATGCTCTTGGTGATTGTTTCATGGCCATATAATGACTTTCTTCAGCTGCAAATTTTTCCTCTGGTTTTTGTCCATCAATTCAAAATCGAGGAGGAACTCCATATACCACCTTCTTCTTTCAAATCACCATGGCTAGAAAAGCATTTTTAACATCAAATTTGCATTTAACTCCCAGAAAGATTGACTGCACAAGACACAAAATTCTGATTGTGTTCAAATCTTGGCTACAGTGGCAAATGTTCCTATAATTCAACTCCACATAGGTCTGACTGAATCCTCTGGCTACCAATCTAGCCTTGTAACTTTCAATCAAACCATCTGCCCTATGTTTAACTGTGAACACCCATGTACATCCAACTGGCTTCTTTCCTAGTGGACGAGTTACAAGATCCTTTGTCTCGTTTTTTGCCAAAGCTCTCATCTCCTCAACCATTGCAGCCTTCCATTTTGAGTCCTGTAATGCCTCTTGCCAATCCTGCGATATAGAAACTGAAGAAACAGACAAAACAAAGACTTTATAGGAAGGGGACAGAGCATTATAGGAGATAAAATGGGAGATGGGATGTTTAGTGCATGTTCTAACTCCTTTTCTAAGAGCAATAGGAATATCGGAGCAATAGGAATATCAAGGTCATTGTCAGAAGGATTGGAATTAAGATTAGGATTAGAATCAACAGGAATTAAAGAAGACTCACCAAGTTCTTGTTCAGGGACTGAAATTGGAGAGGACGGTCGATCAAAGGTCTCATGCTCCTTGGTTGTATCTATATTAGTCCGCCGTGTGTTGGTTTTCAAATCAGGTCTATCCAATCTTCCTAAAGATTTGGGTGGTTGCTCTCTCTTACTATCTATGTCTACAGCAATCTCTCCCTGGAAAGAAATGTCATCCATCACCTCTTCCATCTAATATTTCTCCCCCTGAAGAGGTGACTAGGAAGGAAAATAAGATTCAAACTCCCGAAAGGACTCCCGAAAAGGTAACATCCATTACTCACAAAGTATTTCCTAGAAGAAGGATGGATAACACTTGTATTCCTTTTTGAAGTAGTAGAGTAACCAACAAAACACACACTTTCAAGGCTCTAGGATCTAATTTTGCATAGACCATTTTTGATGAACACACAACAAAGACTTTTAGGGAGGTTACAATATAGAGTTTTCCTTGATCTAATGAGTTTTAAAATCTTAAAGTAGAAGAGGCATACATTGATTAAGGTCTAAGCAGCAGTCAAAATAGCATCCCCCAAATATTTTGGGAAAGATTCATAGTAAACCCTAAGGGGACCTAGCTACTTCCAGTAAATGTCTTATTTTTCTTTCGCTACTCCATTTTGAGGCACTTACTATTGTAACAACTAGTCTGATGTATTTAATACCATTAGAATCTAAATAGGTACAGAAAAACTGCATTCATGTATTCGTAACCATTTATTCAGTTCTAGGATTTTAACATGCGCATCAAACTGAGTACAAATTCATATGGAAGTTCTGAAAAACACGAAAAAAACTTCATTTTTTTGTTTCATTCAAATACACCCAAGTCAAATCTCTAGTGCAACAATCAATAAAAGTCACAAACCATTTATAACCAGAAAGAGAGACAATTTTAGTAGGACTCCAAACATCAGAATGAATAGTAGCAAAAGGAATTAAATTCTTATTATTAATTGGAGAATAAGAATGCCTGGTGTATTTGGAAGTTCACAAGCATCACATACTAATGAATTAAAATCACATTTAGCAAACAAAGTGGGAAATAAACGTCCTAAAGCAAAAAAAGAGGGATGTCCCAATCTCCTATGCCATTGAATAACTTCATGGGAAGGATTTCTAGAAGTTCCTAACAAAGCTTGACTGGTACCCAAATTTGAAAAACGACAAACAAACATCATCCAACAGATACAGTCCATCGCGCAAGCTACCATTGCCAATCGTTCTCCCCGTATTCAATTCCTAAAATATACAATGAATAGGGTAAAAAGTTACTTTGCAATTAAGTGCTTCTGTGATTAAGCTAACAAATAACAGATTAATAGGAAATCTAGGAACATGAAGAACAGGGGAGAGTTTAATATTGGAAGTACAGTCAATAGAACCCGTGCCAGCAATTGGTACTAATTGAGACAGTACAGTCAAATTAGCATACCCTGTCCAGCAAATCTGGTTACTAAGGAGCCAGTCCGCAATGCGAATTTTGTCTGGCCTTGATTACTTAGATATTTGAGGAAATGTTTAAAGCCTCCTGTATGTTTATTTGCTCCTGAATCTATAACCCTATAACCCAAGAGGGTTTTGCAATTTTTGCAAGAAAGGTAAGGAAAGCATTACCTGAATTAACAAAATTAGAGGCTGCAGTTTGAGTTGAGGACGAATCAAGCTTTGACAACAATCGTTTCAGGGACTGAATCTCCTTATTAGAAAAGCTTCCAGCGGTAGATGGTTCCTCAGATAAAGCTCCACTATCAGATTGGTGTGCCTGTGGTCTAGAAGAACTGACCCGCTTTCCTCCAAGCCCTTTAATTAGGCATCCATGTAATTTCCAGCAGAACTCCTTAGTGTGCCTGTTCTTACCGCAATAGTCACAAAACAATTGATCTCTATTTGAAGAACTGCTCTTTGCAGCCTTGATATGTTCTCTTGCAGAATTGGCAATCAACCCTGCTTTGTCAATGGTAGATCATTGAACCATAGCGTTCCTCGTAGTCTCCTCTTGCTGTACAAATGAGTATGCTTGTCGTAAGGATGGAAAAGGATCTCCTCCAAGAACTTGGACTCGAATATGATCATACTCGTTGTTTAGGCCAGCCAGAGTTGTTTAGGCCAGCCAGAAAATCAAACACATTCTACTTCAATCAAGTTCTGAACTTGAGTCGCATCATCAGTACATCTTACTTGAAAGTCTTGATAATAATCCAGTTCCTGCCACAACCCACTAAGTTCAGCAAAATACCGAGCGATAGTCCGATCTCCCTGCTTGGTTTCATGAACTTTCTGTCGCAATTCATACCTCTGAACATAGTTTCCAGTTTGGGAATACGTCTGTGAAGCGGCATCCCATATCTTCTTAGTTGTATCAAGTAGCAAATATATTTGGGAAATAGTTGGTTGCATGGAATTTATTAACCAAGACATAATAAGAGAATTCTCGGATTTCCATTTGTTAAAGGCCGAATCTGTCGAAACTGGTTTAGTTGCTCCACCATCAAGGTATCCCTGCAAACCTCTAGCTTCAATGAATAAGAAACAAGACCGAGACCAACTCAGGTAGTTTGTTTCATCTAACTTCACCGGGCTAATTTGAAGTGAGTGGCTCTCTGAGTGAAAAACCATATCTACCTTCTTTCGGTCAACCATTTCTTAAAAAAAAAAAAAAAAATTTAAGCGGCAGCAGTGGTAAAAATGACAGCAGCGGTAAAAGGCAGCAGCAGTGGTGGAAAAGGAAAATAATTCTAAAAAAAAGGCAAAACTGGTGCTGAAGAAGCAGTAGGTCTGAGTCGCCACACCGAGTCGAGGTCGCCGGAACAAGAGTCGTCGACGGAGCTCGCCGAAAACAGCCGCACGCGCCGGCGCGTGAAGAATAGTCAGAATCTTCTGGAGGTGCGTGTGCACATGCGCGTGGTCGGACGGTGACGCGGTTTGGACGGAGTGCCAATCGGTGGTCGGTCTTCCTTTTAAGATGGGCGGTGACGACCAACTCCCACTTCCGGCGGTGCTATGTGTATCTCAGATCACTTTGCAAAATGAAACCGTTGCCGAAAAATTCACGGCAATGGCTTTGATACCATGTAGAAATTAAATGAAAGAATATGTTTTATTTCTTTCAATTGTGTTTTTCCAAGTGAATGGCTATTTTTGAAACAGAGAATTCTCTGGCACCAGTTTATATGTTCAACTGAAATTTTAGGTCCTTTATCAAATGAGGAATGCAGGAAGGCATGCACTGAACTGTAAATATAAGACCTTGTTTTGTTGTGGAAAGAATTCTCTATTTCTGTTTTCTTTTTTTTTTTTTTTTTTTTTTTTTTTTTTTTTTTTTTTTTTTTTTTTTTTTTTTTTTTTTTTGCCATTTCCATGTTCTTCAAATTTCTAGTTCTGAATGGAAATTGGAATATGTTGAATTTTTCAGCTCTCTGTTTTTTCTATTTGCCAGTTTGGTTTCAATGATTCTTATTATGATGTCAAAAAACTTCTAACCGTGATTCTTAGAATACTCTATATTTATCCCTTATTTTCAATGGCATTAGAGCTGAGGTCTTGTGAATTATTGCAAATTTCAGCCAACGAAGCTGAATCACAGTTGTGAATTTGAATTTCTACCCAGCATTTAAATTAATTGAACCTTTTCTAGAAATAAAACCTGCAAGTTGTCATACATCACATTGCAATAGTTTTTCAAATACGTTAAGAGATGCTAAATCTTTCTTAACCAGTTCATTCCACGTGATTCTTCATTTGTCTTTTATTTTATTTAGTCCTGTTACTTGAATGTACTTTGATCTTTTACAGTGGTAAGTCTATTTATAATGTGAGCATCTGCTTCTAAAATAAGCATTAATACTGTTTCATTTTTCCATGATTATATTCATTTGTTAACTATCATTTCTTATAGTTTGTACATTTAATAGTTTGCTGAATGATTCCCTGGTATAAATTTTTGTTTAACTTGTGTTACTATTAATAGGACATGTCAGACTTTTACATTTTTGCCATCCTGCCTTAATTATGAGTGACTTTGTACTCGCTTTTGTATTCTTTTGTGTGGTAAGACCAAGGTACAAAAAGAAATGATCACTCTATGGAAGTTTCAAAACCATTCAAATTCATGTTTCACTCATTTTCACTTACATTTATGAAATTGCAATTAACATAAAATTACAATTTTATCATAAAACAATCAGGAAAATAAATTTAACATAATATTATATGGTTTCATCTTAACAAATATGAGTTGGAGAAAATGGCAAAGAAACATGGAGACAAGGAAAACTAAATTTAGGGATTGCTTAGATTTAATTCTGAATTTGAAAGTTTTGCATTTCTTTAATTGAAGTTTAGATCTTTTTCTAATTTTCTTTTCTGTCTTAGGAGTGTTGTTGTACTATATTATCTATTTATCATATATAGATGTTTTTACACGGGATCTCCCTTTTTTTTTTTTAATTATGAATATTCTTATTTAGGGATATTTACCCTATTACTAACTGTGTGTTTCATGTCAATCATGTAAAACAAGAAAGGTAGTTGATGTTAATTTCTGTATTCCTGAATTATCTAAGGCTTTCATGATAATTTAAGAGCATTTTTTATTGGTTTGAAAGTCATGGACATGATTTTTAGAAAGGGTGGTGTAGTAATGGTTATTTCATAATCAGATTTTGAATGAGTTGTATTTACCATAATTTGTTCTAGAGATTTCTGAAATCTTCAGTGAAACAGATGAAAATGATTGTTATGGCTGTGGCAGACTGTTTTTGTGAAGTGGTCATGGTCATTATGAGTTGAGGAGGCATAGAAGAACAAAGATTATGGCTCATATGTCAACAGTTTTCATGATGGATAGTCTTCCCATGTACGGGTCGGATGCCAAAAAGGGTTGCTTGTTAGCAATCTGAGACTAGCTTATATTCAATGAGTATGGTGTATGCTGAAAGCACCATGTAGAGGGGGCTTTCATAAGAACGATACTTGTCACTCTTTTTTCCAGAATGAATTTTAGTTTAATCCCATTGTTCAAATGCTATGATACTAGTGAACAAATTTCTTCAATGTGTTGAAGATGTTATGTGAAAATGGTCAGAGAATGAACTCAAGGGAAGATGCCGTCCATTTAGGTTTTTATGTGTATAAAAAATGTTGTTGCATCTTGCATGAGTAGGTCCTACAGGGGTATGTAACATTTTTCACTTTCTAAAGATGGATTGGATTGGCTTGTTTTATTTCTTAATTCATTTATTATGCTGCATCACTCACTTTTGTAATTTTTGGAACTTGATTTCTGCGAGAGGCGACTCTATATTTGTTTTTTTTTTTTTTTTTTTTTTTAAAAAAAAAGACTCATATATTGTTTTTTTTTTTTTTTTTTTTTAAAAAAAAAAAATTATAACTCTTCATCTCCAAATTAGGCAAAACCAATGTCTCCTTGCACCACTACGTATCTAGAAAATTTATTTTCTAGATATGAAATGGGTTGAATTGCTGAACTCTCAATCTATATTTTAAACTGTTGGTCTTCCAAGGGATGAAAAACTGCTCATTACTGAGAAGCCACTGTTTTTTTTTTTTTTTTTTTTTTAAAAAAAAAATTATAACTCTTCATCTCAAATTAGCAAAACCAATGTCTCCTTGCACACTACGTATTCTAGAAATTTATTTTCTAGATATGAATGGGTTGAATTGCTGAACTCTCAATCTATATTTAAACTGTGTCTCCAGGGATGAAAACTGCTTCATTACTGAGAAGCCACTGAATTGTTGAAGTAAGGACATCAATATATTCAAGATAATCACTTCTATTCAAAATACTGTCTCAATTCATCTTATTTTATAACAAATCCTAGATCTCAAGTTGTTTGCTTTTTCTTTTCTGTTCTGGACTCATAATAACCCACCGTTCCGTTGTTTGTTTGTGAATGAGATATTTAAATGCTGCAGATTATAGATGTTCAGTTGAACTTTATTTCGTCATAATTGTTTTTATCTTAAATTCTTTCAGTCCTGCTTCTGGAATGTTCAAGATTGTCAGGCCTGCTGTTGGGGAATCAGTGAGGTAACAAATATTTCCAGTTTTAATCAGTTTTTTATCTATTCTTTTTTCTAAATCCCTTATGACCTCTTTCAGGGAAATGCCTCTGGCAGAATTAAAAAATAAATATCGAAAAATATCGTCTACAGAGAAGGCTCAGAGTGGCTGGGAAGAAGAATATGAAGTTTCATCTAAACAGGTATGGTGGGGAAAATACAAGTTTAGATGCTGTTAATCCTTTCTTAGGTATAACATAACTAGTTGCTTGAGTAAATTTTGAAATAACTCTTCTATTTTGGTTCATTAATTTTAACTTACCAAATTGAAATTTGAGACATCAAGGGAAATTTGCCTAGTTTGTTTGTCTAATAAGGTTGCCTATCTTGTTTATATGTATATATGACATTCTGCATAAATGGGGATAGTGTAGTTGACTTGGTTCGGAGTTTTCAGAATTTATATTGGAAGTGTGTGAGCAACTTAGAATGAACCAGGTGAAAATTAATGATGACGGTTAGTTGTGACCAAGTGGCTCCTTGAGATGTAGAAAGTGTTGTTGATTATCATATATTTTTGTCATGCATTCTGCTCTTTTCTTGTGCTCCTAGGCTTATGAGATCATGTTGTTCATATATGTTGTATAATTTGGATAAATCCTGTTATAAAATGGACCGGGCCTTACTCACTCCCCAAAAGCTAGCTTTAAAGGAGGAGGATTCCCCAAGTATTTTGAATAATGACCTTATCCTAAACCAATGTGGGATAACACGCTCCCTCACGCCCAAAGTATGAACGTCTGGAGTGTGTAGTTTGCAGGTAAAACATTTGCTGGTGGCGCAACATTGAAGTAGGTTAAGCTCTGATACCATGTATTCACCCAAAAAGCTAGCTCTAGAGGAAGATGATTACCCAAGTCTTATATTTTGAATAATGACCTTTTCCCAAACCAATATGGGATGACAACTCCTATTTATAAATATGGAATATCTCTCTTTCACTCTCTCTCGAGCTGACTACTCCAATCTGCAGTAACTAAATGAGTTTATTTACTGATTTTACTATCTTTCATTGCCTTAGCTTATTGTCAACTTCATTTTAACATGCAGTGCATGCATGGGCCCAATTGTAAGGTTGGCAACTTCTGTACTGTTGGAAGAAGACTACAGGAAGTTAATGTTTTAGGTGGCCTTATTCTTCCTGTGTGGGGCACTATTGAGAAAGCCCTATCTAAGCAGGTAACTTGGGGTTTCTCAATCATTTCTGATTTTCTTTCGGCAACAGAGATTTACTCTTTTTTCTTTTTTTAGTAATTTATCTATTTGTCTTCTTCAAAATGTTCATACTCAGTGTTTTCCTGTTGAGATTTATCTCATTTTTCAGCATTGCACAAATTATGCAGTTCATGTTACTTTTTATGATGTGGGTCTATTTATGTGATTGCCTTTTAGCATGGTTTCTGAAAGGGAATCTGAATTCTGGTTGGAAATTGCAAACATGTAGGAATTATAGAATTTGTTTGGCATGAAGTAACATCGAATTTGAATCCAATTCTTAGTCTTCATTTCATCGCACCTGTAGATAATGAAGCTTTCTGGACAGGCCAACGTGGGTTTGTTCCTTCATGGATTCGCTGCATGATTGGTGATCTTCATATCCAGGGCAAATTTGGCCCGAGAGATACGGTCTTTTGTCCAAACCATCTCACCTCCTTTTCCCCCATCTATTCTTCTCCTTCAACCCCCTCTCTCTTATTTATAGATTTCTTGAAGAAAAAGTAGTTGAAGTGGGACTTTGATAATATTAAATATCTATCCAGAAAAACTTGAGAAGCAATGCACAACTGGATTAGAGACAATATTCAAAGGTAACTTTAGACTAGGGACAAGAGATCGCTGCTGGTATCTTCATGTTTCCATTCACATGGGTTCCTGAAAATTGAGCTTATTGGCCAATTTTTTGATTTTACGACAGTTTCTAGGCATTTTCTTCATGATTTGTTATCTAATTATATTTGTTACCTTTTTTCGTGCATAAAATTTCTGCCTGTAGGTTTGATCTGTCTCTATAATTATGACATGCTGTTTTTTTCTCTGTTTCTTTCTTAAATATTGCCCCGCACAATGATGTACTACAACATTTACAGTTCATGCTCACAGTTCCCTTTACTGTTGTGTATTGTTTTTTTAATAATTATTTCCTTACTTTTAGTGTGATCTGAAAAAAGAATGTAAATGCAGTTATAACTTACTTCACACAGAAGGAATCAACATGCTTGATTTCAGTTTAGCTTCTTTACACTGTTGGTTGACGGCAAAAACTAAAACCTTGAGTAATTTTCTCGACAGGCACGTCAAAGCCATAAGCGGCTTCGAGTTGTGCGTTTAGAAACCACCACAGATAACCAGCGCATAGTTGGTCTTCTTGTCCCAAATGCTGCAGTGGAATCTGTGCTGCAAGGTCTTTCTCTCTGCTTTTATTGTGCGCATCTTTGTATTCTGGACCATGCTACAGTTTACATAATCATCATGGTCACATTAGGCCTGAATTATTCAGAATTTTTACATAGAGCTGATCATGGCTGTACATCTTGGTTGCAGATCTAGCATGGGTTCAAGATATTGATGATCAAGATTGACATTAGTCCTTAGATTGGTAGACACCGTCAACAGTTGCAATTGCGCAGATATAAGCATGAGCCTCATACTGAAAGAGGATAGATAGAGTCATTTTCTGCACCACAATGAAATTGTGCAGTCTCATTTTTTGGTTTTCTTTTTTTGGCTTCATTTTTGGCTCAATTTTTCAGCACATAATTTTGTATATCCCTAACATCTCTGCTGATTGCAGATGACAGAAGGACAATAATAGGTTACCAGGTTGTATTATTCATAGCTCTACTTGAACCAGTTTGTAAAACAATTTACAAATCAGTAAAATTTATAGTTCAAAGAAATTAATTTTTTACTATATGAGAGGGAATTCTGTCATTTTCTTTTCTTACCCTGCTGAAGCACGTATACAGTGTAGGTTTAAGCTAAATCGGATTGGTAATGGTCAGAAGAGTCTCTATTTGCTGATTATCCAGTGGTTGGTTTTAAGTGCAGTATTAAAACAACAAAACAAACAGAGAGTGTGCCAAGGTATCAAACTCACATTCCAAATTATTATTATTATTCAAAACCCAGTTGCAAAAGCATTTCACACCCCTTTAACACACAATTAAATTTAGTAACAGATAAACCCCCACAATCTGCATACAAACAGAAATCAAAATGATGGTCATTGCAGTAGAAATTCAGCATACAAAAGGAGCATCAACATGATGGTCGCTGCAGTAAAGGCCAGGTCGCTGAGTGAAACCTTGTTTCTTCAGCATCTTTCTAGCCCTCAAGACCAGTTCCTGATTAGAAACTGCCCCATCTGTATCAGCAAGTATAGTCTGAATTGCATTGCTAAGAGCTCCATAAGCTTCACTGGCATTTCCTGCAGGACTCGCATCAGCAGAAGTTTGGTCTGACTGACAGCCGCTAATTAGAACACCTTGATCTGGCAGTGACCGGTTACTTGCTCCAGCATAAACCTCTTGCTTGGTATGCACTTCCGTCTCCAAGGCAGGTTTTCCGTAACCCTCGTCATCCTCCAGCTTGTGTTTGAGAAACTCCTGCGCAAGACCCCCAACCATACCCAAGAATCCACCTCCGCTTTCTCCATCTCCATTTTTGAATTTGTTCAGAAGAACCTTCATGAACTTCTTCACTTTAGGACTCGAATCTTCTCCAAAAGTGTCAAAAAGTGTTGGTCGCAGCTTCCCAACATCAATGTCATCTTTGCCTGTTTTTTGCTTCAGCATTTCTATGAGAGTTGAGAGAGGAAGAGATCTACTTTTCACGTAGCCATGTTCACCATAGCCTTCTTCGACTGCCCTTGAATCATAATCTTCCTCATCTCTGTGGTGCTGGTGATGATGATGCAATCCAGAAGGTAGGTGAACTCCCCGAGTTTCAAAAGCATCTTTAACTTTGTTGTGCAAAAAACTTCTGAATCCAGATCCAGATCCAGAATCTGATTCCTGCTCTTGACGATTGGTACTCTCCCCTATTTGCTCTTTAGCCTCATCAATGAGACCGCCACTGTGACAAGAATCAGACACAATTGTTATGCGGCAGCCAGTTGGAACCTGATCCACAAATTCCCGGAAGTCATCATCTGTTCATGACCAGCCCAACTAACAGTCAGCACATAGAATTGCTTAATCGTCATAATCTACTAAAAAGGGTCATCTGCGGAGGGGCAAAATATACTAAGAAAATATTTGTCAAAAGAAAGTTGAGGTAAAGTAGAAATCTGAATACAAAAAAGGAAGAATCATTTACAGGAACAGAGGATGAATAGAGGATGAATCTAGAGCCATAAGGTGTATCCACTTTACTAGAAAGCCATTATTGGGAACAGGAGAGACTTTCTTCCTCTTAAAGAAAGATTTACATCCCCCCCTTATGCTCCAGCTAGAATTATTTAATAAACAGCAAACTGAGTACACAAATATTAAAATATGGCTTTGACATAGCAAAAAGATGAGGATGTTCATTTCAAAACATGCATCTATTTAACTCGATCCTCCCAACATCTTAAAAGCTTAAGATCTCTAGGTTCCAATCTTGATCATTACGAAAACAAAAGGGGAATAAAAGAACAAAATGGAGATCCCCAGTTGCCTCTCCCAACGAAAATCAAACAACAATTAACAAAGGAATCCTTATTCATAGAATAAATCAAAATTCCCAATTGCCCACACCAAAATAAGCATTACAACTACCAGCATGGATAACTAAACACTGGCAGATCAATTCAATTCAAGTAAATATGGGGTCTAGTACCTTTCATTACAATTTAAAATATATTCCAGTCTTCCATCACTTGAACTCTCAAAAATCAACAAAAATCAATAGCATTGTGGACAAATGCAAAATCTGATTGTAATGTTCTTATGATTTGTCGGAATGATTTAAAAAGATAATACTTCTCATATGAAAGAAAATAGATTCAATTGCAGTCAAACTTCCAATTTTTTTAAATTAAAAAATAAGAATTATGATACAAATCAAGCTAAATAAAAGGTAGAAAATTGGCAGGATATGGAAATGAGATCATAGGAAAAAAAAAAAAGCAATTAAGATCACGACAGAAAGATTAGATATTACCAGTAATGAGATTCATATCACAGGGCACAATGCACTCATCATAGCCAGTATCATCATCCTCGCCGGTCTCAGCAGGCAGCCTTGTCCCATGTCCACTGTAATGAACAAAAAGAAAATCGCCAGGGTCCGCCGATCGCACCAGATTGCTGAGGACCATGCGTATGTTTTTCCCAGTAGGTTGCATATAGGACTCATCAGTGTCTATCAAGATCATAATGTTTTCCTCAGAGAAACCATAGCGATCTACAAGACACTTATACATCCTCCTCACATCGTTTATGCATCCCTTTAATTCAGCCTTTGTTCCTGGGTAATTGATTCCTATCAATACAGCTTTCTTCGCCATTCTTGCGATTATGTCAATGCTACTTTTTGCATATAAAGTGATATTTTGATCTCTCTTTCTCTCCTGATTTCGGCCGATTTTCTTCGTCGGTATGTATAATCTCCTTTTAAGGACAGCAGGATGAAGGTCCTATTTGAATTCACAATGGTATTGTTGGATTAGGAAAGAAGAATGTGGAACGTTGACCAGAAGATGAAAGGCTACGCTTTTTCTTCTTCCAAAATGTGATATTCATATAAAGGACTCTATTTTGGTCCCAATATTTTGGTTCGGATGATTTTTTTTTTTTTTTTCTCTTAGATATTGGAGAAAAGAATTCAATCATTGATCTATTGTGAGCTGGTATTCTTATCAGTAGGTTATTTCTTTTTTTTTTTTTTTTATTCATTGAAAAATTTGATGAGCCCAAAATAAAACTGTGAAATATACAATAAAGATAGCGCTCCTTTAAATTCGAACTCAAGACTTTTTATTATTTACATGTCATTTTTTTTTAATTTATTAGAGGTTCAATGAACCGAAATAATATTGCGCTATATATAATATGGATAACTTTTTCCTTATCTCATCAAATTGATTCTATAATAGTATGCAAAAGAAAAGTGAGGTTTTATTTATGATAAAATTATTGACGTTTATTTCCATAAACTAACATGTAGGAAAATATTTTTCACAATTCTTCGTTGTGTGGGGCGTTCAGAAAAATAAGTCAATAGAACAAGTCAAAGGAAAATTAAGTCATTTTTAAGAAAAATAATTTACCATTTTTAAAAACGTAAAACATTTTTAGGACATTGACAAACTTATTATAACCTTATAAATTCATATTTTTTAATATATTAATTATCAATAGTCATTACTACCGGTCACTGTCCATCACCGGTCACTGTCAGCAACCACTAGTGGTCACTAGGGACTTTTATGATTTACCTTTTTTTATTCTTCTTATATTTAACAATAAAATTTTTAAATACAAATTTCTATTATTATTCATTTTTTTACGGTCTTATGCGTTAAAATTTTAATATTCTTAATTAATTTCAATATTGCAACTAAACAACAGAATGTAAGTCATTTGAAGAATATTTTTCAAACAAAACATTTTTCTTGAAAAATATTTTTTAAAAATAAGTTATCTTCTAGAAACAAACAAATACGATTTAATAAATAAATTAAATAGAGTGACTATTTAATTGAACGGTGACAAAATAAAAATATTATTTATTATTTTTCAAAAATAAAAACTTCTCATACCTTCGAAAAAAAAAGATAAAACTTCTCATAATTTGTGAATTTTCACTAGATCATGAGGACTGAATAATAATATATCTGCATTTAAAAAGGATTTTTTTTTAATTGTCAACAATTAAGCGAAGAAATGAAAAGTTTTTGGATAAATAACACAGTGATTATTGAGAGAGATAGTGCATGAACAAGATGCAAAGCCTACATATCAGGATGCAAATATGCAATCATGATGTCAATTTTGAAGAGTTGGTTAAAAATCGCAGAATATATAAATTCGCCCATAAACTTTACGACTTTAACATTATGACATTCTAAACTTTACGTATCACTTACTGTACACTTGAAATTTATAAATTTTGGTAATATTATAAATTTTTCGACATTAATATCATTAATTTTTAAAGTGTTTGGCTTATATATATAAAATATCAATTTGATATGTAGTTAACATGACTTTTTGAATAATAATTTCAATAAAATTTAATTTTTTTAATGAGTATTTAATTAATTTAATTTTGCAAGTTGAAGTGTTCAATCAAATAATTTGAACATTGAAATGTTTAATAGATGTAGTTTTACAAATTTAAGCGTTTGATAAGTCAAAGTAAAAGCTGAGGGAACCACAATACCAAAGTAAAAAAGTTCAAGAGTCAATTTATGTATCCTGCACTTAAAAATCAAGTGATGAAGTTTCTCTTATGCATTTGAGAACACGTTCTACCTTTTCGACATGGTAAATTGCATGCTAGTTGCAAAAAATAACAGTTGCGGTGCATAATAGGTCAATTTTAAGGTTTAGAATGCTATAAAAATAAAGTAATAAATTCAATCGTGAATTTATATATTGGGCTATTCAATTAAATTAATTTTAGACTAATATTTAAACTAAAATTTTTTGGACTTAATATTTAAATTAAGCTAGTATTTTTATCTAAGGAAAATATAATCCGAAAAATTTTTAATATTAAATTAATTAAAGAATCAAAAGATTTTCATCGTCGAGCATAAAGGATAAAAATCGAGTGTTAACACCAATATTCCATATCAATTTTTTTGAATTAGGATACAAAATAATGCTTGTGAATTTTTTAAATATATCTAAATGATTAAATAGATCAATAATTTTTAATTTCAAAAATACGCCTAGGATTATGCAAATAGTTGTTTCAGTAGTACAGTTGTACGTGCATGTTATAATCAAATGATTTGATTTTTCAGTAATAGTTCATATTTTTATATTAAGAAGCATCATTTGCCGTTTGTGTTTTTTTTTTTTATTTATTAGAAACCAATAAATGGAGGACATAACGGGAATTTTAAGCCAATTCCATGTCAGTAATGGGTTACATGGCAAACAGTCAACTTCCATGTCATAAAAATTGGGTCCCATAACTGCATAATCATTTTTTCAATTTGTCACATCATCTGGAGACACCTGATTAAAAAATTTATAAATTCAGCTACTTAATCATTATCGTTTTCTATTAAAACACTAAAATAGAAAAAAAAAGTGAAAGTTCAAACACCAAAGATATAATTATCCATTTTACAATCAGTTGTTTGGTGCCCATATGGACAACTAAAAATCCCCACTAGGATTACTGGGGCCCATGTTTTCTTATATCCATTAAGGATGTGTTTATTTGGACTTATTATAACTTAATAGACACATATCTTATTGATTTAGATAAAAATCAAATAAGTTTGTTTGTTTTGTCTTTTCAAATATACAGCTTATATGAATATAGAGGCAAAAAATTTGATTCAAAAAGCTAAGTTTTGTTTAGTTTTTTTTTTTTTTTTACTAGAAGACAAAAATATCCCCACCTAATATTTAGAATCACAAAATTATATCATAATGTCAAAGGAACTATATATTGGATATATTTAACTATATATTTTATTATGTTGAGCCACATGCTTCAAGAAAAAGTGGATATAAAGGTTAATTGCATTTTTTGTATATGAATTTTATGAAATTTTCTATTTTGGTGTATGAATGGAAAAATTTATAATTTGGTGATTAAACTCTTAATTTTTTGATAATTAAGTGAAATTTGCACATGTTTATAATCGAAATTCCTTATAGGATGGTTGGGACGCACATTATCATTTGTATGTTGTTGGCTATACATCAATCACCATGTGACGTTGGATGTCAAAGGCAAAGGATGTGAGAAAGACTTAACTATCCTCTTCTCCAGTTCCCTCACATCTACTCGCTAATTGATTCAAAACCTTGGAAATAGAAAGCAACAAACAAGCAACAGACAAAAGCAAAGGCTTCAAGTATTCCATTTTTTCTAGAATAGTATTCGAATCACTTTCTCCATTCCATGCTTTATGCTGCCACCAAATTGTGACATTCTACTGAATCGAGTCGTTGCATAGAGTCGAGTTGAGTACCAAAACCCGGTTCGAGCCATTAGAGTCCAGAGTGGGGTAGTATGGGATGTACAATAAGAATGAAAAGAAGTGGACTTACTTGAATAAGACAAAAAGAGCAAAGTATAAGGATTAGGACTTACTTGCACTAAAATATAAAGTTTAGGTATTAACTTGTATTCTGTTGCAAATATAGGTACTATTTGGTAATTTTAGAGTGCGTAGTATGGGATGTACAATAAGGAATGAAAAGAAGTGGACTACTTGATAAGACAAAAAAAAGAGCAAAGTATAAGGATTAGGACCTTACTGCACTAAAATAAAAGTTTAGGTATTAACTTGTATTCTGTTGCAATTAATTTAGGTACTATTTGGTTAATTTTTTTACATAAAATCATTGCTATATTGAGCTTTCCCGAGGACTTCCATTCACTTTCCCTTCTTTTCATTTCTTTATCTTCATCTCCTTCCATTCTCCTTACTCACGTTTCTTTCTCATCTTCTTATCTTTATCTCCATCAATATTTAATGGCTATTCAACATTAAATTCAACCTTTATTCTCTCCAAGTAAGTAAAATTTCTGAATTTCAAATTTAGTCATTTAGTGATATTTTAGATATTCATTAAAAGTTCTTATGGTATAGGAGAGGTGAGAGGTGAGCTCAAAGGTAGAAGAAAAAGGAAGCTAAGTAGAAGATTTCAAGCTTTTGAAGTGAAGGTTTGATATCTCTTTTAGTTTAACAATTTCTTTGCATGAGAACTTGTGTAGTGTGTTGATAATGAGAAATTATGTGGCTTAATGTTGAGTAAGAGGTTTGGAACTGGTGAGAAAGCATTGGATGAAATGAATAAATGAAGTAGATATTGATTTCATGCTGAAACAGGTTTGTTGGAGAACTGACCAGCAACTTCATCTTGATTTTGACCCTATTAAATGATAGAATTAGGAAGTGGTATAGAAGAGTTATTTGTTCCTCTATGTTTTAGCTGTCCGTGGGTTTTTGAATCACCTAAATTGGAGTTATAAATTGAGTTATAAATTGAGAATATGGACCAAAAATAGTACAACCTGTGTTAGGCTAGAAACACGAACTCGCGCTCGCGAAATTTCATGTCGTGCTCGTGATTTGTGCCTGTAAACTCTCTGAACTCTTCTTGTGTGCTTCTTGCACCTCGCGCAATTTCATGTCGCACTTGCGCATTGTGCATGTAAACTCTCTTTGTGCATGTAAACTCTCTGACTCTCTTGTGTGCTTCTCGCGCTCGCGACTTGTGTTTTGATGCCTTTTGGACCTCTTTTTCTATGAAATTGTATTCCATTGCTCAAATTGTATTCCTACAATCATTTTTAAAACAAAAGAGACAACACGAGCAAATTTATAAAAACAAAATGCAATCATGCAAATGATGTGAAACAAACATAATACAAGTGGCCCGCTTTGTGAGGCTATCAGCATACAGGTAAACAGTATGGTTTATGAATGTAGGCTGCAGTTAATATGTTTTGTACTAGTGACATACCGATAATGTGCTCCATTGAGGTTAGGTAGAAACCACATAGATAAGGCTATGTCGCGACATAGGATAACAGATCTGCGCCCCATACAGTTTGGTACTCCGGCTTCA